CGCGGCCCGGTCGTCGACCAGGCCTCCTCGTTACTGGACTGGTCAACCAGGCTATTGGACGCAGCTGCTCGCAGCCTGACGCATGAGTCACAGCCTGGTTGATCAGGTATTCTTTGGAGGTGTTTGTTAAGTTCTCTCTTGAACACTGTGAGGGGTTGGACAGTTATGCCCCTTATGTGCAGTGGAAGCGTGTTAAACAGTCTCGGGCCTCTGATGTTGATGGAGTTCTCTCTCAGTGTACCTGTTGCACCTCTGCTCTTCAACGGGGGTATTCTGCACATCCTGCCATGCCTTCTGGTCTCATGTGGTGTTATTTCTGTATGCAGGTTTGGGACCAGCCCCTCTACTATTTTCCATGTGTAAATTATTATGTATCTCTTCCGACTGCGCTCAAGAGAATACAGATTTAGGCTCTTTAGTCGGTCCCAGTAGTTTAGATGTTTTACTGAGTGGATTCTAGCAGTAAAGGATCTCTGCACGCTCTCCAGGTCAGCAATTTCTCCAGCTTTGAAAGGGGCTGTCATTGTGAAGCAGTACTCCACTCTAGAGAGCACTAACGTCTTGAAAAGCATCATCATCGGTATAGCATCTCTAGTGTGAAAGGTTCTTGTTATCCAACCTGTCATTTTTCTTGCAGTTGTGATGGCTACTTTATTGTGTTCTTTAAATGTAAGGTCTTCCGACATCAGTACACCCAAATCCTTTACATTGCCTTTCCATTCTATTTTATGATTGGACTGAGTTTTGTACGTGGTTTCCGTTTTTATATTTTAATTTTTTCCATAGCGCATGAGCTGAAACTTATCTTCGTTAAACACCATATCATTTTCTGTAGCCCATAGAAAGACCTGATTGACATCTGACTGGAGGTTTGCCATGTCCTCTATGTTGTCTACTCTCATAAAAATCCTATTGTCATCTGCTAAAGATAATACAGTACTTGTGTCCTTGTCTATGTCCGATATGAGGATGAGAAAAAGTACTGGAGCAAGCACAGTACCCTGGGAGACTGAGCTCTTCACGGTTGATGGTCCGGATTTTATTTTGTTGACTATTACACCTTGGGTTCTATTAGTCAGGAAATTGTAAATCAATCTGCCTATTTTTCTGGTAATTCCTTTTGAATGCATTTTATGTGCAATAACACCATGGTCACATTTGTCAAAGGCTTTTGTGAAATCTGTAAATTACATCAGCATTTTGTTTGTCTTCCATGGCATCTAGTGCAATGTTATAGTGGTCCAGCAACTGTGACAGGCAAGAGCGCCCTGTTCTGAAACCATGTTGTCCGGGGTTATGGAGATGCTGTGATTCCATGTATTTTGTAATCTTACTTCTTAGCACTCTCTCGAAGATTTTTATGATGTGCGATGTTAGTGCCATCGGTCTGTAATTTCTTTTTACTCCACCTTATTTCCTCCTTTATGGAATGGTGCTATCTCTGCTGTTTTTAATATGTCAGAGACACTGCCAGTATCTAGGCTTTGTCTCCAAAAAATGTGAAGGGCCTGTGATAGCGTTTTTTTACAGTTCTTGATGAATATAGAGTTCCAAGAATCAGGGCCTGGTGCAGAGTGCATAGCCATACTGTTTATGGCTTCTTCAAAATCCAGTGCCTATCCAACATCCTAAGAGCCAGGGCCCAGGCAGATTCCAGTGAGGAAGCAAGTATCGCCTGCTGACATGCGAGCCGAGAGGCATAAAACAGGAACACTGCATCCTGCAGGATCGGCGCAAACAGCTTCCACAAGGCAGACGACAAGTGAGCTGCTGAGCCCAAGGCACCGGACCCAGAAACGGCCACAAGCACTTCTACATTCTCCTCCAGCCAGTCCGAAGACTGCACCAGGAGGGGGAAAAAAAAGCTCAAAGCCGAAGCCAAGAGGCCACGAGTGTGCAAGTCCTCAGCAACCTGCACAGCCAAAAGGGAAGAAACCTGCACATAGAGCTGCACAACGCCTACATCCCAAGGAAGGGCAGTGGCAAACGAGCACTCATTGAGGTGCTCAAACTCACCCCCAGGAAAACCTGACCACCGTCAAAGCCTTACGCCACTCAAGTGTGCGGGAATGACAGACGGTATGCCACGCCTCCAAACCATAAACAGGACAGTCCGCCAGCTAGGACGACTCCAGAACCTCATACCAGATCCAGTAGTGAAACGATGACCCAAACCTGAATGAAGACGGATCCATGATAGAGGCGTAATCCTGGTCACGCAGGAGGTAAGCCACAAAGGCCTCTCGCACCACATTAGGTTGAATGCGGGAAGCCGAAAACCTCCGGAAAGATGGAACCGAAGCACCCGAAGGGACACAGAACCGAACCCGGGGAGGGGCAGACACCAAATCAAATTTATACGCAGAGGGGGGAAAAAGAAAACCCCACTCCTTGTAACAGGCGCCCCGCTCAGAGGGCAGAAAAACCCAGGAAGGGTCCAACGGGAACCAAGGCCCCCAAGTCAGCCCTTCTCCAGCCCTGGGATCCTTCGCATCTGGATTCGGGGCCGAGTCATCTCTCAAAGCCCCAGCCTCAAAAGAAAAGGTCGGCGCAGCCGTAAAAGCCGGATGGAAGTGGGTCCACTGGTCAGACCCAGAGGCTTTGGCTGGGAGAGCAGACTCAAATGCCTCCATTGCCACACCGGAAGGGGCATCCCCCGAGACTGCCCGAGTCTCAAGACCATCTAAACCCTGCCCCGACTCGGAAACCCTCAGACGTTTCGGAGACGGAAGCAGGTGAGGGCCAGACGGAACCACAGAAGAGGAAGGACGAGGGGGTGCGGACAAAACCAAGGCCAAAGTGACCATCACCCCTAAGTCCGGGTGCCTATAAGCAAAACGGGGCAGCCTCAGGGCATCTGGCGTAGCAACCAACCTAGCGCGTTGCAACAATCTAAACCTAACATGCAACACTTTTGCTGCCTCTACCCAAAGAACATCATCATTAGACTGGGTAAACTGAGTCACCAGCAGACACAAAACTCACAGGACTCTGCATCGAAAGTGTCACCGACCCAACAGGCAGCATGACAGAGGCAAAAACCGTGAGTCACCCTGAGACAAGGGGACAGAACAACCCTCAAACTCGCACAAAGTGAAGGGGGGACTTAGGGGTCACATCCATCGAACCCGCGCACCCCCTTGGGGTTTCCCAGGGTCTTGAGACGGAACTCACGCTCAGGGAAGCCCAGGCAGGGTACTGCTAACCGGCGCCCAATCAACCAAACAACTTTCTAATAGCTGAACCCCTGGGACGTGTACACTCATGGGGACCTGGTTGATTGGTTGATGGGGTTCTGGGAGTTCTTCTACTCCCCAAGCTCGGCCCGAGGCCAGACTTGACTTGTGAGAGTTTGGTCCACCAGGCTGGTGCTTGAAGCGATCCGCAGGCCCACATACCCACCACAGCCCGGTTGGTCCTGTACTCCTTGGAGAAAACAGTCTAATTTTCTCTTGAAAATGTCCACGATTGTTCCGGCAATATTTCTGATAGTCGCTGGTAGGACGTTGAACAACCGTGGACCTCTGATGTTTATACAGTGTTCTCTGATTGTGCCTATGGCACCCCTGCTCTTCACTGGTTCTATTCTGCATTTTCTTCCATATCGTTCATTCCAGTACATTGTTATTTTACTGTGTAGATTTTGGACCTGGCCCTCCAGTATTTTCCATGTGTATGTTATTTGGAATCTCTCTCGTCTCCTTTCTAGTTAATACATTTGGAGAGCTTTGAGAGGATCCCAATAATTTAGGTGCTTTATCTCGTCTATCTTTGCCATATATGTTCTCTGTATTCCCTCTATTTCAGCAATTTCTCCTACTCTGAAGGGGAAAGCGAGTACTGTGCAGTATTCAAGACGGGACAACATAAATGATTTGATGAGTACTGCACAACCATTGTGATGGGATCTGAAGGTTCTCTTAATCCATCCTATCATTTTTTTGGCTGATGCAATATTTGCTTGGACTTATTGACCTAGCAGCGGGTACTACCTGAAGAGAAAAACAGTACTCAGTACTTGTACACAGGGGCAACAACCAAGGCAGGGCCCCCCCCCCCCCACCAGGCAGGGAAACAAAAAGAAAAAGAAAAAGAAAATCCCACAAGAGGACAGCCTACCCAGGCGGAACAGAGCCGGTCGCTATAAGTGGTGAAAATGAGCTGCGCAGTACCCTGCGCCCCTTACCAGTGCAAACTGCCTCCTACCATAAGATAAATAAGGGAGACAAAACACCCAAGCACACAAAGGGCGGCCAAAAACCGAGCAGTAAACAGTCAAGCAGAGGCAGAACCCAAGGAACTTGTGGAAGGTAGCCCAAAGCCCCAAGGGCAGTACTTATTGGGCACCTATGGAAGGGAACCCTAGGCGCATGCAGCCCGAGTACCGAAGAAAATCTCCTGGCACGCACACCACCTAGAAGACAAGTCACCACACACAAGACACAGTGCTGAAACAATCACTGGAGCCAGAGCATACAATTTCTGCCTATAACATCAGCCTCAGAACTGGCATGTGGATTGCTAACGCGGGGGTCTGGGGCTCCCCTTCCCCCTCCCGGGGAGGGGTGAGCTGTGCAGACAGCGGCGCGGCGACGTGTGACGTCATGCTCGTTTAAGCGTTTCTGTTTGGGGAGTTCTATCCACTTGTTCGGCTTTTTGTAGCAATTTTCACCAGAATAGGGGGTTTGTTTTGGGATGCTTACCTTTCTGGGTGCCTGACCCAGTTGATGGCAGACATAGAATGCTTCAACCCCATGGGGGTTTCTGTAGGCCATTGCTCCTCATGCCTCTCTGAAAGGGGGCCCAAGTTCTGGCTCATGGTCCTGGTAGGCCCACAGAACTCCATACACATGATTTGATGCTAAAGTCTGACATAAGCATATCAGCCTGGATAGCTCCGGGGAGCCAACAGGGCTCCCCTCCCCCAGAAATTCATATAGTATTTGGCACTTATAGAATATATGACTACAACAAAGAAATGTCTGAACAGCATCACAAACCTCCTTATTCATCTTAGACAAAGGTTTTGTCTCTGCGACCAGCAGGCCAATGATTTGTGAATGAAAAGTTGCAGCCAGAGCATAGAAACGTTGGTGAGTTGTAATGTCTTCATACCACACATCAGGGTATTCAATTGGAAACCACTCTCGACACAAAGTTTTAACCTGCAAAAAACCAGTGTTGAATGTAATGAAATGCCATTTTCTGGTTGAGTCCCGGAGGCTCCCCGGAGCTATCCAGGCTGAATGGATATGTATAACTGTCTGGCATCAGTCAAAGGGCTAGGAGTTCTTGCCTACCGGGGACCACGAGCCAGAACCTGGCCCCCTAAGAGAGCCACGAGGAGCAATGGCCTATAGAAACCCCCTTGTGGTTGGGAGCATTCTGTCTGCCATCGACCGGGATAGGCACCCAGGAACATAGGTGCCCCAAAACAAACCCCTATTCTGGTGAAAATATTGCTACCGAAAGCCGAATGAGTGGACAGAACTCCCCAAACAAAATTATCAAACTAGCATCATGTCGTGGAGCCACCGTCTGCGCAACCCCCCCCCCCCTCCTCGGGAGGGGGAAGGGGGAGCCCAGGACCCTCCGCGCCGGCGATCCAACTGGCAGTTCTTAGGCTGAATGTCAAAATATGCGAAAAACGCCACCGACTGGGAGGGAGGGAGGGATGCTGGGGAGCCTCCGGGACTCTCCCAGAAAATGGCGTTTCATTACATTCAATGCTAGTTTTCTGGGGGGAGCCCCGTCGGCTCCCTGGAGCTACCTCACCACAGATAAGGAAAATAGGGAAGGATCCGGGAGGCGAACGCCATGTGCCCTAACCTAAAAAACCAAGACCACAGACGAAACAAAGACCCTGCAGACCTGAACCCCCAAACAGGAATGAGGGAAGAAGGGAACGCGAACAACCAAAACGCATCCATGTCCCCAGAGGCCAAGACGCGCAGAGAACAGCAAAAAAAAACGCAACTAAACAACAAAGGAAGCACCCCCCCCCCCCCCCCCCCAGCCCAACCAACCAAGCAGTAACCCAAAGACCAAAACAAGAAGTAAATAGACCACCCAAGCCAATGACCAGGACGGCACCAGAACTCAAGAACAGGCCGGAGGTGAAACAACGCCCAGGACAGCAAGCGGAACGGAGCAGAAGAAACCGCAACACCGAACGCAAGCTGGAGCGGCTCCGCCAGCACCACCCAATACGAGGTGACAGTACACGGTCCCAGATGACGGTCCCGGAACAATCCCGTAGGGAATCGCCGTTCTTTGGCGTTCTCAAGAATGGTGAAGAAGGTTAGGTAGAGAAATAGAAACAATTGAACGCAAGCTATAAGAATCATACAAAACCCATGAGAGGCAAAGAGAGCAAAAGGCCATCAGTGAAATAGAGAGAAATACGAAATATTTTTTCCTCCTATGCAAAATCAAGATCAAAAACCATATCTAGTATCAGGCCCCTGCGAAAGGAAGATGGAACTTTCACCGATGACAACAAAGAAATGAGCGAGCTACTGAAGAAGCAGTACGACTCTGTTTTCAACGAGCCATTAAACACACTAAAGATTGATAACTCAAATGAATTTTTCATGGATATGATACCAACATCAAATCATATATCAGACGTCACCCTATCCCCACTGGATTTTGAAGAAGCCATAAACAGTATGCCTAAGCACTCTGCACCAGGCCCGGATTCTTGGAACTCCATATTCATCAAGAACTGTAAAAAACCACTATCGCAGGCCCTCCACATTCTGTGGAGACAAAGCCTAGATACTGGCGTTATTCCTGATATACTAAAAACAGCAGAGATAGCACCACTTCATAAAGGAGGAAATAAGGCAGAGGCAAAAAATTACAGACCGATAGCACTAACATCGCACATCATAAAAAATTTTGAGAGAGTGCTAAGAAGTAAGATCACAAAATACATGGAATCACAGCATCTCCATAACCCCGGACAACATGGTTTCAGAACAGGGCGCTCTTGCCTGTCGCAGTTGCTGGACCACTATGATATGGCATTAGATGCTATGGAAGACAAACAAAACGCTGATGTAATTTACACAGATTTCGCAAAAAGCTTTTGATAAATGAAACCATGGTGTTATTGCACATAAAATGCATTCAAAAGGAATTACCGGAAAAATAGGCAGATGGATCTACAATTTCCTGACCAACAGAACCCAATGTGTAATAGTCAACAAAATAAAATCCAGCCCATCAACCGTGAAGAGCTCAGTCCCCCAGGGTACTGTGCTTGCTCCAGTACTTTTTCTCATCCTCATATTGGACATAGACAAGAACACAACCTATAACACTGTATCATCCTTTGCGATGACACTAGGATCTTCATGAGAATAGGCAACATAGAAGACACGGCAAACCTCCAGTCAGATGTAGATCAGGTCTTTCTATGGGCTACAAAAAATAATATGATGTTTAACAAAGATAAGTTCCAGCTCATGCGCTATGGAAAAAATGAAAATATAAAAACGGAAACCACGTACAAAACTCAGGTAAATCATAACATAGAACGAAAAGGCAATGTAAAGGATCTGGGTGTACTCATGTCGGAAGACCTTACCTTGAAAGAACACAATAAAGTAGCTGTCACAACTGCAAGAAAAATGACAGATTGGATAACAAGAACTTTTCACACTAGAGATGCTATACCGATGATAATACTTTTCAAAACACTTGTGCTCTCTAGAGTGGAGTACTGCTGCACAATGACAGCCCCTTTCAAAGCTGGAGAAATTACTGACCTGGAGAGCGTGCAGAGATCCTTTACTGCTAGAATCCACTCAGTAAAACATCTAAACTCTTGGGACCGACTAAAGAGCCAAAATCTCTACTCCCTTGAGCACAGGCGGGAGAGATACATAATAATTTACACGTGGAAAATATTAGAGGGGCTGGCCCCAAACCTGCACACAGAAATAACATCACATGAGACCAGAAGACATGGCAGGATGTACAGAATACCCCCGTTGAAAAGCAGAGGTGCAACAGGTACTCTGAGAGAGAACTCTATCAACATCAGAGGCCCGAGACTGTTCAACACGCTTCCGCTACACGTAAGGGGCATAACTGGCAATCCCCTCACAGTGTTCAAGAGAGAACTGGATAAGCACCTCCAAAAGATACCTGATCAACCAGGCTGTGACTCATACATCAGGCTGCGAACAGCCGCGTCGAACAGCCTGGTTGATCAGTCCGGCAACCAGGAGGCCTGGTCGACGACCGGGCTGCGGGGTCGCTAAGCCCCGGAAGCACCTCAAGGTAACCTCAAGGTAGGTAAGGAAAACAAGCCAACCCTATCAGAGACCGAAGGACCCTTCGCAGCGATAGGAAAACCGGAAGGACCGCCAGGAAAACCACACACTGCCCCCGAGACGAAACACGCAGGTGGGAAACCAACAATGAACCCACCAGAGCCGACACAAACGACGAGAAACGAGCACAACAAACGAAAGCGCGAAACGCGAATCGAAAAACAGCGACCCCGCAACCCAAAGGAGCAACATAACCAGCTCTTGCAGGGAAGAATGACGCACGCGTCCCTGAGGCATCGAAGAGGAGAACTACGCTTGACATGAACCGCAGGAAAGCAAACACACCCATTCCAGAAAAGGAACAAAGAAAAACCGGAGCCAGGACAGGAATTCCAGCTACTAGTTCCAAGAAAAGGAACCAGTAAGGCAGGAGCAGCAGACCAAAAGTCTACAACCCCCCACAGACAGTGCAACACCGAAGCCTGCAGTAAATCACAAGAATAATCGTAGGAACTCGGCACCAAAACGGAACACCGGGGAAGTCCAAAAGCAGGGAACTGAACATGGACAGAGGCCCACCCGAGCCCCCAACATCGGGATAGTCAATAAGCACTGACCCAGATACACAGTCAAGTGTAGCATAGGAGGAAAAGCAGAAATGGGCAAGGAAAACCCCGAAAACGGACCAAGGAGCGGCTGGAAGTACATAGTGAGAGATCTCCCATAGTGAGAGATCTTTGTAATGCACACAACTAACCACAAAATGTGTAGTGGAGGGCGTACATACCCGAGGGACCTCATGGACAGCAGGGTGCAGTCAGGCACTGAAGATAGGCAAGGAATGAGTGTCCAGATAGGGAAATGACCCAGGTGCCGACAAACGAAACCAAAAGCACCGAAATGTGGGGCAGAGCCCCACAGGACAACAAAGAACAAGATACATGGACAAAGGAAAGTCATTGAAGACATACGCAAGGTGACCAAACACAACACACCACACCAAACACCCCTGTTAGGAGCCATCGACGCAACCCCGCCAAACGGGGAAGAGAGAGTAAACAAGGATGAAGCAGTGACCAAGGGTGGCACATGCCACCCTTGTGGCATATTTTGTACACGAAACCACGGATATAAATTTTATTAAGTTTAGATTTAGGAAAGACTTGAGTAAATACTGGTACGGTAACAGGTTTGTTGATTTGTGGAACCAATTACCGCGGAACGTGGTGGAGGTGGGGTCCCTCGATTGTTTCAAGCGTGGGTTGGACATGTATGTGAGTGGGATTGGGGGTAATAAATAGCTGCTGCCTCGTATGGGCCAATAGGCCTTCTGCAGTTACCTTTGTTCTTATGTCCTTATGTTCATATGCACAATGGGACACAAGAGGAAGCTGAGTACCCAAAGGAGCCACAGACATGAAAAAGAACCTGATCAATGTCAGAGGAGATAGGAAGCGGAAAGCACTAGGAAGCTATGTAGTGGAGGCAGAGTCCACCCACAGGAGCAAACGTAGACAAAATAGAACCCAGGAGGCTCTGGAAACTGCACAAGCATCAACCGACAGGAGAGAGGCGGGGCCAAAGAGCCAGAGCTCAATCCCCGCAAGCGTAACTAGACAAGCGCCCCACCAAAAGTCGAGAACCAGCACCTGGTCGACAGAGTCGCCAGACATGACAATCTCACCTGCATAGCAGAGACACGACCGTGCCACAACACAGGTGAGCCAAGTAACATACCAGGAGCATCCTGCTTGATACCTGCTTGATGGGGTTCTGGGAGTTCTTCTACTCCCCAAGCCTGGCACGAGGCCAGGATTGACTTGTGAGAGTTTGGTCCACCAGGCTGTTGCTTCGAGCGGCCCGCAGGGCCACATACCCAC